AGGTCGGACTAGACGATCATAATGGTCCCTTCTGACCTTAAAGTCTATGAGAGACTGTTACTGGCTTTCAGGAGCTGTGTCACAATGCCCCACACTGTACTGCTATGACTGAGCAGTGGGAGAAAGACCAAATGGAAGAACCTTGTCCTGATAGCAATCTTCCCCAAACATGAAATGGAAGTATTTGAAATGCGAAGGTCTGAGATACATATGTATGGAAGTATGCATCTTTGAGACAGAGTTCTGAACCAATCTTGGGTGGGTAAAGAGTGAATTGTGAAAGCATAGGTCATCATAGGAATCTGAACTTCCTGATGGAAGAATTAAACGTTCTGAGGTCAAAGATGGGCCTCAGTCTACCATCATTTTTTGGGATCAGGAAGTATCTTAAATAAAACCCCTGCTCCTCTAAAGTCTCTCAGCACCTCCCTGATGGCCCCTGCTTCTAGAAGGGAGAGAACCTCTGTTCTTACTAGATTCTCGTGAGAGGAGTCACTGAATAGGGAGGGAAGGCGTCAAACTGTGTCCAACAGCATTCTGGCACTATCTCTGGGGTTCACTTTTCATGGAGATGGCACTCTATTGATGGAAATAGTTGGAATATCTATCTCCAAAGGAAAGGAGTACTTGTGGCACCTTAGAGACTAACCAATTTATTTGAGCATAAGTTTGAGCTGTAGCTCACGAAAGCTTATGCTCAAATAAATTGGTTAGTCTCTAAGGTGCCACAAGTACTCCTTTTCTTTTTGCGAATACAGACTAACACGGCTGTTACTCTGAAACCTATCTCCAAAGGAAGAGTCAGAGGTTGATTGGAAATTGGATTGTAGTTCTCGCTCCCCCTGTGAAATCTGAGATCTAAGGCATGGTGCAGAAGAGGATGAGGCTGTCTGCCTTCTCTGGGGACAAAGTTTGTGGTTCCTTTCTCCTTTGTTGTTGCTGAGGAACAGGCTGCTGTTGTTGATAAGGACACCTATGGGTAACATATAAGGAGGAAAGTGAAGAAGGATATTTCTGTCTGTGGTACAGATTCTAAGGCCAGAAGGGATCACTATGATCATCTAGTCTGATCTCCTGCATAACAGAAGCCATATCTGAAGATGATCTTCCTCCCTAAAGTGTCTAATTTTCCACCTTCCCTATCAAACAGAGCAGAATGCACCTCACTATCTTTTTGCTTGTTGAACAGCTGCAGCCACCACCAGTGAGCTTGGGAGCAAGGCGAGTGTGAAACAGCAAGAACTCTTCATAGGGCAGCTGCTTTTTTCAACATGACCAGACTCATAACTGGATTAAATCAAATTATTTTAGGTGGCTTCAAAAGTACTTCCAATACTGTTAGAGTGATCTTTGAATTAGAAGGAGCCCCCAAGTTATAAAAAATTAGATGAGAGATCTCTTTTATAGAGACTGATGGTATATTCAAAGTGGAAGCCCGTCTAGAGACCAAGCCATGGAACTATACTGTGACTTCAGACAGTGAAGATGCTATGCAATTCCTACATTATCACCTGGAAAGATTTGGTCTCCAGTCTCTAAATCAGTGCCCTAGAACTCTACATTGGTGGCTCTTCTGAAAGAGTATCTGGGACCACCACTGGAGATTGCTGTCTATACCTGCTGATGTAGACAGATTTGGGGGCACCCAGAGGTCTCAGAGGGGACAACTCCCCGTATGACTACATATGTTCAGCTTCCTCATAATATCTAGGAGACAGCCAATAGGACCATCCAGCTCAAGAAGGACACTGCCAGTCTTGGCAGTACTCAGAATCAGCTTCTGTATCATGGAACCCACCTGGATGTAGGTGTGTTCTGTGTGAGTATGGGTCATTGAGAGTATATGTTTTGTAAGCAAAACAGAACCAAGGTAGAAAGTAACCTGTCTGTCTGATGCCACACTGGAGTGTGGATCCAACCTTAGATCTCAGGTAGTTGGAGACAGTGACATTAGAGGTCTAGGCAAACTTAAAAACTAAAAAAGGGGAAGATAATTTTCCCAGAGAGCCTGTACGAGATGTAGGAGAGGGAAGAGACAGTTCAGGGAAGATTTGGCTATGCTCCATAACCTTTTGTCTTTTCCCCACAGGGGAAAGCAGAGAAGGTGCCTCTATTGCTTCCCTTTTATCTTGTAATTGTTAGTGTCTTCTGGATCTGAGGCTATTTGAGGATCTGAGCGATGTATTGGGCTATAATTGTTAACTTTGGCACAGGTGGCTCCTCAGCACTGGAGATGATTTTTGGATTGGTAACACTCATATCACCTGCCTTCATTTTAGGATTTGAGGCTGACATTGGAATTAATCCCAAATAATATGAAAGGGATTCCAGACAGTGCTTGGACATAAAAATGGAGGCAGCATCATGCAATACCAGTCTGCTCCGAACCAGGAGAGTCCGGGCTCTTTTGAGAGGGCTGGCTCTGCTAACAGAGGCCTACACATGTACCATTCTGCTACTCTTGGAACTAGGATCTGACAACTTAAAATCTCTCAATATCAAGAGTTCTACTCTTTTCCATGGATTGGAGGACAATTCATTTTGTAGAACCTTAGGCTGCTGGTTCTTAGTTCTCAAAGGATCCAGACCTAACTTTACTCACAGAACCAAATTGATTAGCACCAGAGGGTCTGGCCACTAGGTCCTCCTGTAACAGAAGAATTGGTAGCCAGTTTTGCTGCTCCTTTTGGGCTCTTGAAGTAAAGGTGCTATAAACTTTGCACTAAGAAAGAATGTGTCCTTCTCCTAAGAATGACAGACACCTCGTAGGGGTGCTGGAGGCAAGGAAGACAGCAGGAAAAAAAGGATTACTCTTAAAACCTGGCTGCTTTCCCTTTGGATCCACCACAGAATCCATAAGACTGCACTGAGGCGCAGAACCTAAAGGGAGTCTCAACATATAAATAAATAAAATACTTTTATAAAATAAAATACTGTACTCTTAACTAACTATGGCACTATTTGATTAAAGAAGTGGATCCAAGTCAGATCTGGAAGGTTCCAATCCATCTGCAACTGCACATGGAAGGAATTGAGGTGGCCAGTGTGCTACATCCCCTGTCATAGCCTCACCTTCAGAATATTCAGAACAGTGGGGGGGGGGGGGGGAGGTCAGAAGAGGACATGAGAGCACTCCAAGAGGACCTGCTGTGAAGCATTCTATTATCAGAGCTGCAACGGCAACATATACCAAGAACGGGAATATGTAAAGGCCACTCAAAAGAAATTTTTTTTTCTTCCTTTAGTTATGTTCAATATGAGAAAGGCAACTAAAATAAGAAACCAGCCAGATACAAACCTGAAGCAAGCTACATTTCACAAATAATTATTTATTATCTGTAGCATTTTCCCATGCAATGTAATAACTGCCTATGATTTGTATAACAGTAAGAGAAAACTTTGCAAACACATAATCAGTAAGAGTTTAAGAGATTGGTGAGGTTATAAAGATAAACTGTACCAATTTCTGTTCACTCAACAACGATTAATCACAATTTCCAGTCATATTGTTTGAGTCTCATTAGCATCTTTACTGATAGACCTGAGAAGCCAGTTAACATCCATTGCCCAAAAGAGAAAGAGAAAAGGAATACATAAATCCAGGGGTGAAAGTAAGCCGGTGCAGGCTGGTACGGCATACCGGTAAAAAGTGGCCGCCAGTACCAGCCCGTACCCAGCTGACTTTAAATCACTGCTGTGGCAGCGCTTTAATGTCATTGCCCCTTTTGCCCCCCCACAGCTGCCGCCGACAGGGAGAGGCAAAAGGAGCAGCTGCCTCAGGGATATAAAAGGACCCAGGGCTCCAGCCGCCGCTGCTGCTACCATGACAACGGCCGGAGCCCCAAGCCCTTTAAATCGCAGCTGGAGCCCCGGGCGGTGTGGGCTAGGCAGCGTGGAAGGGCTGGCTGGGGGACTCTGACCCCCCCCAGCCACGCCCCTTCTGCCCAAGGCTCTGCCCCTTCCAGGGGCCAGAGCTGACCCCCATACCAGTAAGTCTTCGTCTTTACTGTCATCCCTGCATAAAACTTTTCTTTCCATAAAATGTATTCTATTTTCATTCCAGTTTGATTTGGTCCAGTGTTTCATTACAGCCCACCACATGGCTCTCAGATCATTTGGTTAGAGACACAGAGAGGCAGGAAAAGTTCTTTACTTTATATATTTAGGAGCTAGACAAAAAAAGTAACTTTAAGGCCAAAATTTCAGTTCATCCTTAAACAAGCAATTATTTGTGCCCATAATTTGTGCCACTAAGATACGTGCACCTCTGCCTGTGTATGCAAATCAGGGACTTTGGCCTGGTCTACACTTAAAATTTAGGTAAACATAGCTATGGCACTTAGGGTTGTGAAAATCCATACCCCTGAGTGCCGTAGCTATACTTACCTAACCCCCAATGTAGATGTAGCTAGCTTAACAGCAGATAGCTTCTGTCACCCTAGCTAACTTTGTTCAGGGACGTGGTGTTCTTACAGTGACAGAAAAACATGTTCCATTGCTGTAGGCTGTGTCTGCACTACAAGGTTATGCTGGCATAGTTACAGCACCATAGGTGTTCCGCAACAGTCCCCGTAGTGTAGACATTGCCTCAGACAAGTGATTTATTTGTGCCCACAGAAAATGGATGCCAGTGTACAAAAATCAAACCTTTAGTCTCAGCTTGGCAACAGCTTATGTTAACCTAGCACTATTTGGTTTGCACTGCACGCTTCAGAGCACATCAAGTCCCCTAACCCAGGAGCACAATAAATAGACATTGGCCAGTTTATAATGAGCTAGCTGGGGTCAGAGTCAGTACTGTGGATATCTCCAAGCCTGGGACACAGACCAGAAAATGCCTTCAGAAAATCACTCAAAGGATCACATCAGTATATGAAATCCAGAAGGAATAACCGCAGATGCAGAAGAGAGCAAAGTTCTCAGGCCTTGATGGGATGAGCCTCCTTTAAGTCATGAACACAACATGATTTACTACAATGTGTTAAATAGGTTATTACTACCTTGTTGTTGTCTCCGTTGAATCTGTGAATCCCAACAGCTTCAGGAGTAATCTCTATCACATCAAAATAGAAACCTTAAATCAAAGCAAATTAAAGATAGTCATGTTTTCTTCTGGCACAAAAAAGTATTAGTTTCAGCAAATGGCTAGAAAAACCACAAGTGTATATAATGCCCATAAGAGTACAGAATGGTAACAGAGTGGAGCAAGACAAAGTAATTTGATTTATTAGACAATAAATTTAAATTTTGTATAGCATCTTACATGCACAAAATAAAATCACGGAATGTTTCTGGACCAATTCCAGTCCACATGTTTATTGAATTTATTCTATTTCCACTGATTTATAAGAATGTGTTTTTTAAAAGCATCTCTGACTCCAGGCACCTTTAATACTTCAATAGAAACACAAACCATATAATAAAAAAAGATAAATCCAGCAACTCAGCCTCACTATATAACAGAAATTACCAACCAAATACATGCGTATACAAATAGTGTATGTAGGTTACAATAAATCTTAGCGGTAGCATGAGTAGATACAGAGCAAGTGGGAAAGGGAGAGAAGAAAGAAACAAGTGATAGGAAGCTACTACCTATGAAATAATGATTGTATCCAAGTAAACCCTGGAGTTCCCAACTTTGTCAAGGTTCATACCTAGGTTTCCATTGTTTCCAACAACAGTACATTTTAGGGCTTTGGAGAATTCGTCCCAGGAGCCTGAAGCACAGTCATCTCTGATCCTCTCTCTTATTAGAGAGCCATTCTTAAAACTAAAAACAAACAACAATACTAACTATATATTCAAAAGCGGCATTTTCCAAATCATTTGGACCCCCCAGATTATTAAAGAGGATTTTGAAACACTAGAGGATTTAGACACACAACGGTCACTAACATTAATGGAACATATATCTAAATTCCTTAGACTGCTTCGAAAGTCTGAATCCAAAGTACTATAACTCAGTGCAACTGAGGTGGGAGAGACAAAGGTGGCTCCAAACCTTTTCTCCTACTTTGACCCTGGTGGTGCTTAGGGGACAAACTATCTCCCTGGGCAAATTAGAGCAGCCACATGGCTATCCTAGAGACCGCTCCAGGAGCTGAATATCATAGAATGACGTGTTCCAGCTACACACCCAGCATGTCCCAGAACAGCAGCAGTTCTTCCCCTCTATGAAAGAGGAATCTCCAGATGCCTCTTTAAAGGTACCTTTAAATCCCTTTTGTACTACTAATGCAAAGGTTATATATTTTAGGTCAAGGATCTAGCCCGCAAACCATCACCATTCACGTGATTTCTATTCCTCTAAATTTAATACACTGCCTTAGATTCATGCTCACCAGCCTTAAATTATACAAAAATGAACCCCATCCCTTCTATTGGCACCAGAGCTTATTCCCCACAATTTTGCAGCTCCTGCTCCCCAAATTAAATAATGGGGATGTCATAATGTTGATTGCAAATATTGCCATATACTGTACATAATATTGAATTTTTTATTCATTATCATTTTGCAAAGGAAACAAGAAAAATATCTTGTTGACTCCAAATGTAAGAGAAAAATCATGTAAAAGGATGTTACCATAAAAGTGCCATATAGGCTCGAGAGTCAACAGGATTGCAGAAAATATGACCTTCTAATGCAGGCGCTGGTTCTTTAATCCAAAGAAACAATGTGTCGCTTGTGCCAAGGCTAATCTGGAGAAGAAAATAATTGTTATAATAATAATTGTATCACATGAAGGCAATACAGAAATTAAATTAAACCCATTTATTATTACTGCTAATTGTTTTTAAATCACACGTTTAGTGAACTGGATTCTTATTATAGCAAGCGGTGATTCAGGTTGTCACCCCAATTAAATATGTTCCAGAGATAGAGATCCAGCAACTTATAAATTTGGGGCATTATCTTAAAAATAGTCCATGAGTTTGATTAAAATCCTACATCCAGCTCCAGGAGGAACTGAAATGAGAATCAGTCTGACTCCAGTACACAGAAAATCAACAAATTCTCTATTTTGGTTTAGTTGAGGACCAAAGGTTATTGTCCAGGGTCCTATTTTACATTCTGTAGTAGCTCTAATTTTATCACAGTGATGTGAACATTTTTCATGAATGTGTATTGACTTACCGCAATGTCCCCTTCTTCAAGTTTCATTCCTGCAAGTGAAGCTGAAAACATACATCAGATAGTTCAATTAATAACTAGGCATTCAAGGTAATTATGCTGCACTGGAGAGGACATTCTATTCTGTGCAGAAAGCCAGCACAAGGCCCAAACATAACCTCAGAGTGGATTTAAGTGGTGAGTAGGCCTTGTTTACTTTGGAGAAGTTCACCCTAAATACTGAAGTTAGTCATTATAGGGCATCATAGAATCAAAGGAGTTGGAGATTAAAAATTTTATCATGTCACCTGTTTCAGAGTAGCAGCCATATTAGTCTGTATCCGCAAAAAGAACAGGAGTACTTGTGGCACCTTAGAGACTAACAAATTTATTTGAGCATAAGCTTTTGTGGGTTACAGCCCACTTCATCCCATGCATAGAATGGAACATACAGAAGATACATATATATACATACAAAGAACATGAAAAGGCGAAAGTTGCCATACCAACTCTAAGAGGCTAATTAATTAAGATGAGCTATTATCAGCAGGAGAAAAAAAAACTTTTGTAGTGATAATCAAGATGGCCCATTTTAGACAGTTGACAAGAAGGTGTGAGGATACTTAACATGGGGAAATAGATTCAATTTGTGTAATGACCCAGCCACTCCCAGTCTCTATTCAAGCCCAAGTTAATGGTATCTAGTTTGAAAATTAATTCCAGTTCAGCAGTTTCTCGTTGGAGTCTGTTTTTGAAGCTTTTCTGTTGCAAAATTAAAAGGAGTACTAGTGGCACCTTAGAGACTAACCAATAAATTGGTTAGTCTCTAAGGTGCCACTAGTACTCCTTTTCTTTTTGCGAATACAGACTAACACGGCTGCTACTCTGAAACCTGTCGCAAAATTGCCACCTTTAAGTCTGTTACTGAGTGACCAGGGAGGTTGAAGTGTTCTCCTACTGGTTTTTCAATGTTATGATTCCTGATGTCAGATTGTGTCCATTTATCCTTTTACATAGAGACTGTCCGGTTTGGCCAATGTACATGGCAGAGGGGCCTTGCTGGCACATGATGGCATATACCACATTGGTAGATGTGCAGGTGAACGAGCCCCTGATGGCGTGGCTGATGTGATTAGGTCCTATGATGGTGTCACTTGAATAGATGTGTGGACAGAGTTGGCATCAGGCTTTGTTGCAAGGATACGTTCCTGAGTTAGTGTTTTTGGTGTGTGGTTGCTGGTGAGTATTTGCTTCAGGTTGGGGGGCTGTCTGTAAGTGAGAACTGGTCTGTCTCCCAAGATCTGTGAGAGTGAGGGATCATCTTTCAGGATAGGGTGTAGATCTTTGATGATGCGCTGGAGAGGTTTGGGGCTGAAGGTGACGGCTAGTGGCATTCTGTAATTTTCTTTGTTGGGCCTGTCCTGTAGTAGGTGACTTCTGGGTACTCTTCTGTCTCTGTCAATCTGTTTTTTCTCTTCAGCAGGTGGGTATTGTAGTTTTAAGAATGCTTGATAGAGATCTTGTCAGTGTTTGTCTCTGTCTGAGGGATTGGAGCAAATGCGGTTGTATCTTAAAGCTTGGCTGTAGACAATGGATTGTGTGGTGTCCCCTGGATGGAAGCTGAAGGCATGTAGGTAAGTATAGCAGTCAGTAGGTTTCCTGTACAGGGTGGTATTTATGTGACCATCGCTTATAAACACTGTAGTGTCTAGGAAATGGACTGCTTGTGTGGACTGGTCCAGGCTGAGGTTGACGGTGGGATAAAAATTGTTGAAATCATGGTGCAATTCCTCAAGGGCTTCTTTTCCATGAGTCCAAATGATGAAGTCGTCATCAGTGTAACACAAGTAGAGTAGGGGCATTTGGGGACGAGAGCTAAGGAAGCGTTGTTCTAAGTCAGCCATAAAAATGTTGGCATACTGTGGGGCCATGCGGGTACCCATAGCAGTGCCGCTGACTTGTAGGTATACACTGTCCCCAAATGTAAAATAGTTGTGGGTGAGGACAAAGTCACAAAGTTCAGCCACCAGGTTTGCCGTGACATTATCAGAGATACTGTTCCTGATAGCTTGTAGTCCATCTTTGTGTGGAATGTTGGTGTAGAGGGCTTCTACATCCATAGTGGCCACGATGGTGTTTTCTGGAAGATCACCAATGTCACCTGTTAGCCCACGCACTCCTACTTTCCACCAGTACAGGATTGTTCTCTATGATATATGTTCAAGTGTTTTGTTCTCTCAAGTTTTAAATATCTTAGACCCTGTTTTGGTAAAGTACTTAAACAGACAAGGTGTCCTACTGACATCAGTGGGACTATTCACATGCCTAAGTCCTTTGATGAATTTGAACCTTATAGAAGGATAGTCTTGTAGTTGAAGTACCCATCTGGGATCTAGAATGTCTTGGTTCAATTCCTGGCTCTGCAACAGACTTCCTGTGTTCCTCTGGGCAAATCACTTAATCTCCCTCAGTTCCCCATATATAAAGGGGGGCCAATGACAGTCCCTTTTGCCGGTCTGGTCCATTTTGACCATAACTGTGTCTTTTACTATACATATGTACAGTGCCTAGCATAATGAAGCCCCTATCTTGGTTCAGACATGTAAGCACTACTGTATACAGATAAATAATTTAAAAATCTCAAGAAATGGTGCTTCTGCACTCTTGTCCATAGGAGTTTTCAGAACTTCCACAAACATCCCTAAATTTAGCACATCTTGGATATCTGGGAATTTTGAAGCCCCTTCAATTATCTCTTAATAGAATTTTAGTAAAGGGCATCATTAAAATTTCGGCACCCACAAGATTAATGAGGGTGGGAGATTAAAAGAATAAAAACAAACTTTCAAGCACTTTGATGCCTGACTTCCCACTGTCTCTTTCAAGTAAGGCTTACACTGTATCTCGTAGTGATGAAGTTTGTCTTCTGTCACTGTGTTATTCCTTTTTAAAAAACTATGGTATTTATTCTACACAAGTAACTGTCTAAAGCACTGCAGTATCATTAAAGCAAGTGCTAGTGTTTTGGATTATTAATGTGAAATTGTGCACTACTTTTTTAAGGGTTTCCTGTTTATAGAATTTTTCTTTTAAACCTTTTTTCAGGTTTTAACGGGTGATTTCTTTTTAAAGGTTTGGGAATAGGTTTATATTAATTTAAATATATGTTTTTTTGAACTAGGTTTTATCTTCTTCATACCCAGGACTAACAGCCTGATTGAAGAAAAGTACTAGTAGTTAGAGTGAACCTCTGATCTCAGTTTCCACCTTCAGGCTTGGAGGAGAAAATGCAAGTTCTTTAAACAATAGATTTTTCTCAAGCTAAAATGGAAGTGTTCATTGGCAAAGGAAGTTTCTCAGGTGTGGACAAACCAAAACCTAAATTATCAAGGTGCAATTTAGGTGCACTATGATTATGAGATGCATTTGGAGTCCATATGCAGTATATATCCCATACAAAGTATGTATCTCAGAAGAATCAGTGTCAAAGGCTGCTGGAAAAAGGTGCCTGTGTGATATTCTTTCACCATATATAGATCATCTAAGAATTAATGAGATTTATTCAGTGAATATGATAATACACAAACACAGAACTATGGAAGCATATTTGTTTATTATCTCACCTGGATTGTCCCCGGTAAATGTCACTACTTTACAGTCTGGACTAAACCCATAGCGCTGAATATAATATGGAGAAACAGAGCCCTAAGGAGTAAACAACACATGAAGAAAGCTGAAAAGTGCAAATTAATCCCAGAGTGTCAAAATACGTCTATAACACAGATATCCAGCTGATTCTACAGTACTTCTACAGTAGCTGCAATAATTATTTACATTTGTTTTACATTTACATTGCAGCGCTTGAGCTAACGTTTTTGTAAGATACAAACAAGAAAACCTCCTGAAAACATCCCTCAGATCAGATTCTGAAACAGTAAAGACAGCAGCAGCATTCTGACTTCAGATCTGCCTCCAGTTATTCACAAAATATACATACACTTGTGTTCCACACCCACATACATATATATTACTATTCAAAATTAGATAGGAATACAGATTGATATGCAACCAAAAAAAACACATACAGCTAGTATGCATCACTATGTCAAATGTGATATGAATGTTTATCATCGATTATCTTTTATTTCAGGGGTCGAGGATTCCATTCTTTTATGTCTCACCAACAACAAATGGTAGCAAGAAGAGATTACTCTTTAAAATAAGAGGACACTTAAAATGACTTCTAAAACGCTGCTCCTGTTTTCACTGCCAATACCAGAAGACCAGCACTTGGCACTGGAATCACAGCACACTCCCAGATGGGTCAACCATGTTCACTAGTGCTTATACAGTGGCTGAGTGCCTGCTATCTCCATTCCCACGCATGCACATCTCTCGTTTTGTGGTGCTGCTCAGACCACAATCTATTTCAAAAGGTATTCAACCTGATTTGTTTTGACAATATAACAAAGATACGCTAGGCGAATTGAGGGGCTTTTAATAAACCTGATAACCGATAAACTTTATAACTACCACACAGTACTGCACTTGAGAAGCTTAAATGTCAGGCTCTATTTCTTCAGTGTTACTGACTGATGATAAAAGGAATACAGTAAACATTGTTCTCTCGTCTAAAGTCAAACAAGTGTTTGTGGGTGTGCAAGGAGAGAAAAGAGACTTCTATCATTTGAAGACTGCCAACAGGGTCACCACAATCTTAGTCTTTGTATCCCCAGCATGCAAAAACCAGAGGAATCTAGTGATGAAGGTAGTGACAGCCACCAGCCACCAAAGTAGGGCTTGTGCATCCTTTCAAAGATGTCAGTTACATCTAGTGCTTTGAGCAGGGGGTTGGACTAGATGACCTTCTGGGGTCCCTTCCAACCCTTATATTCTATGATTCTATGATTCTATGATTCCTGCTCTGGAATGCACTTACACAGCACTCCTGGACATATTAGTCAGCCAGAACAGCTCTGGAGACTACCCCTAGAGCACAGCATCTCTATGCAAACATACACCAAGAGGGATCCTATCTGTTACACACAGAGCATAGCCCCAAAATCTTCCAATTACATGTTCATCAGCAGTTATCCTCCACTGGCACATACCAATACTGAGCTGGATGGCACAACAGGTCCCAGCTTTTCTTCTAATCCAGGCGCACAAGCATTGATGCAGGCGGTGGACCATATTTTATCATGAATCTGCAGTAAATTCATTCCAGAACCTATGAGACAACAGTATTCAAACACAAAATGTAGATCTTGGAACATAAGAATAGATTAATGAAAAGAAAAGAAAAGAAAAGAAAAGAAAAGAAAAGAATACTGCATTAGAGGATTTCACCTGCCTAAAGGCAGAAAAGAAACTATAAATAAAAGTGGACATTTAATACTGAAATGGAATGGTCTCAGCTCAGCAGAGCACAGGGATGCTGTACAGTTACTGACTCACAGCTTTGTGGTAGCTTTCATTATGGAAAGGGGATGGGGGCAAGGAATCTTCCCCACTGCATAGGAACTGAATATAGTCAAAGTCCTTGCACTCCAACCAGTGACGCTAGACTCCCAAAATAAATGGGGAGGTACAGATAGATCCTGCAACCCCTCAACACTGGCGAACAGAAAATGAAGCCTATGCTGCACCCAATCAAACTGCAGTCCCTCTGCATTCAAGGGAATTGTGCTTTAGGCACAATAGTGCAGGAATTCCTACTAAGGTGGTATGCACCTTTGCACTGCACCCTAGTTGGGCTGTGGTTTTAGGCCATCATTTGTCTGTAACTAATCCTCCTAAGATGCCTGTGAGGTTATGTTTGTATTATCACCCTCCTTTACAAATGGGGAAATTGACCAAGAAAGGTCATGGCCCAAATTTTAAAAAGTAACCTCTAATTTTGGGTGATACAAGTTTTGGGTGTCCAGTTTTATACAATTAAAACATGATTTTCAGACTGGTTGAATACCTTCAAGTCCAGCTGAAGTCAATGAGAGTTGTGGGTGCTCAACACCTCTAAAAATAAGGTTCAATGTGTGTATTACTGGACACATTTTAAAATTTGGTCTTAATGATTGGCTAAGGCCACATAGGTGAGTCAGTGTCAGAGCCAGGATTAGAGCTGAGGGGACTCTAAATCTGAACCCTGCAGTTAGCACACTAGATTAATCAGGCCTTCTGAATGAACAGGGCTGCCTCAACAGCTCATTGCATTCCCCTCTATGTTTACACTGCTCCAGCTTCTCCTCTAGTTAAAAAGAACAAACGTTTTTAAAACCCATGATTGACTGAGCACTAACTGTGGAGATGTTGAATACCATCAACTCTCATTCCCTGCACTGGTCTAAGATATATTTAATTAGACATTTCACTTTACTTTTAATAACCCAAGGTGAATTCTCTTAACTTAGTAATAATATTATCCTGGGCTAAAAACACTTTTGATTTTATATCTAATTAGCCCAGGACCTGTTTATCTCACTGACAGAAACTCAGTCATTGTCCAAACTGACTGGGAAGTCTGAAACCAATGGAATTTTGTTCAGTGCTACTGACCTTTAGACACTTCAACATATGTAGGGAGAGCGAAACTCACCCTTGGCACAGGGACTGTGAGATCAGGCTGTCCATGGAGTTTTGTGGGGCATGGGGGGAGGAAATGTAGTCCACCCCTCAACCTACTGGCAGACCACAAAGCTGCAACATGGCCCCTAATCTAAACAATGGGGTAGCCCTTCTGCACCCCTATACAAGTATTTGAAACCATTGGATATGCAAGCACTGAGCTACATGCCACACCCTGGGTTAATTCCTAACAGCCTCCTCTGCTCCAAGCTATTTCAGGCTACTGAAGAGCCCCCATCCTGAGTGCACATAGGGTACAGAAACAACACCCATTCCCACTGCAGCCTCTCTTTCAAAAGCACTCTCTCTCACACACTCACAGAGGGATTAAGTGGCACGGTGGGACTTGTGCTAGACCTCTGCACTTTGGTAGCTTAACGTTTTATAGAGAGGTCCAACAATGAGTATGTATGGGATATTTACACCAAAAAACACACAGTCCAGTGTTAAGACATAACAGAGCCAGGGCTCCAAGAGTGAATGCAGCTTTACAGAATATATTATACACCTCTGAGACACTAACTCAGGCCACATAGTAGGAAATTTAGATTACACCTTACCTGAGTTAATGATGTATAAATGAAATTAAATGTATTAAATTCAATCAATCAATCTCATTTCATGCAAATTAAATTCACTTAATACATTATATGCTGGTTAATTTGCCCTATGATTCAGCAGTAGGAATTCGACATAGCACAGCACACTTCCCATGGACAAGAGATGTATTGCTCTTTCCCGCTGTCAATCACACCCACCACCACCAAAAGCAATAAATACAACAGGATTTAATCAGATACAGGGACATTCCAGCTTTTCCACGTTCTTGAAGGGACCATTTTTAAAAAAATCAGCCACCACACTCTTCAGGACAAACTACATGCAACACCAGTAGAAGTTCACAAGAGAGACAGAGGGTGCAAGGAATCCCTTCCTACCACTTAACGCCCCTGTACATGGTCTAGGCATAATGGGAGTCCTTGCACAAGGACTCTGCAGCGATAGCACAGTGTCTGGACAAACCTATACAAAAGGGCCAAAGAGGAATGTTTTGTGGAAAAGCTCTATCACACATCTAGCTTCCTAGAGTAAAATGCCAAGTGTCTAAAGGTTTAATTATTCAGTGAGCAATAAAAGTTTTAAAGAAACATATGGTGATTTTGTGGGTAGATTCCTTATCTAAACCTAGAGACACATTGAATCAGACTTCTCTTATACCATTTTGAAAAATGTCATGACAGTTCCAGTCTTTAAACTCTATCATCATTTGTTTGTATGCAATTTTCTAGTCCCTTCTATGCAAAATGCAACTGGCAGAGCATTAAAACCTCCCACTTTAATCCTGTTCTATGGACACAGGGTGCACAAAACTGATTTTTTTTAAATAAAATTTAATTTAAAAAAAATTAATCATATATAGGTTTCTTTTTAAAAGTAAACCTTTTTAAAATTAAATTTGAAAATTGACAACCCAGGTTAAGGCCTAAAATTACTATAATCTATTAAAATAATTTAAACTAAATATAAAAAGTAATATTAATCAGCACAGGTCTGCTGTCAAGTTTCAAAGAAAGTCAAACCACAAAGCTGGTGGAACCAGAGTTTGTTGAAGTGCTAACCAGGCTTTTGACAGCTGAAGCCTCTTCTGCAGGTGCAGAGAGAATATCTTCTTCATATCAATTTATTCAACTAGTTCAGTTCAATTACTAGCTTGTTCAAAGTTAAGAAACCAATTGCAAGTTGACAAAAGCAGGAAAGTTTATTTTCCCCTTCCAGTCTACAAATAAAAACCAGGTGTGAAAGGATGAAATCTACTGATTCTAAAATCTTGAAGGACATGGTAACTAAAAACAATCAGTTCAGTTAATTCATTACAGATAATACTTCCTTTGTATAATAAATTGGATACTTTTAAATATAAAACATATTCTGATAAACTTTTTGATCATTTTTTACTTTGTATCCAGCACATTTAAGGTAGTTTTATTTAATAATAAATTAAAATGCTGCTTTTGAGCATTTTAATTTAATTGCATTTCCATCCAACTAAAAGCTTGATACAAATCACAAATAAACAAATTAATTGACTAGTAAATAAGAAATGCATCATTCATCATATTCTACCATAAACAAAAGAAACAATTAAGAATCTGAATAAATGTGTTAACTTATATAGTTTAAACAAATTTGTATAGATATAGTGTATCCTCCTTGTTAGCAAAAAGAAGCAACAAATTTAGTATCAAGGCTATATATAGTTGCAAATCAACACACTAAAAATCAACATGCTTTCATAAAAATCACACTTTCTTTAGGCAAATAACTAAAGTAAAAATGCAAAACGCAACTAAAATTGAGTATAACAAGGTTTTCTGCTTGCTGATTAAAATCATGATTAAAATGGGTTATTTAAAGTGCTTTGATTTTAATCAATCCACTCTGTACGGACATAATATTATTTATTGAATGTCAAACAGCTTTCATATATATATTATATGCTCTGACAGTGTTCACAACACCACAAAGCCAGTTAGATGGGCAAAACACCAACCTTTGCAATTCAGTCTGAGCTCCTACAATGAAAAGATGATGGTTCAATTCCCCCAGGCCATCAATTGCTAATAAATGTTCAGATATGTCTATACTACTCAAGGATGAAAGGATCATTTCATTTACCTTCCCATTCAGAACTCAGTTGAGAAATGGAAAAAATATTTTAAATGAACTATTAACCTATTGGAGCCTATAGGGAGAAATTAATATTTTACTTATATCTATCTTTACATATAAAAGACAGGTAGAGTACACATACCTTCCTACATATTCATCTAGATGGCAGTCTAAAGATTGCCAGTACTCCAAGGGTTAAAATCTAAGTGAGTCAAGCCATACAAAGCAAAGGCAGATCTTTGAACTATCACTTCATATGGACACTCACTCAACAATAAATGAATTCAATATCAGAGGTCATGGTCCAATGGTGATTGAGAAGAGGATCCATATGTGGATGGAAGGGATTCAGTATCTCATTCCAAGTACCATTGATTGATAGTTCAAGATCACCATCAAGTGCAGTAAGGATCACCAAATGTTAATTACTGATGCAAAAAAGCCTAAATGATTCAACACTGGGGGAAAAAAACAAAATTCTATTACAAAGGACCAAAAGACACTGCCTAATTGGATTTATTAATGGACTAAAAGTGAAAAAAATATCCAGAGATCAATACTGTAAAACATATATATAACATCTAGCGCAGGGGTGGGCAAACTTTTTGGCTAGAGGGCCACATCGGGGTTGCGAAATGTATGGAGGGCCGGGTAGGGAAATCTGTGCCTCCCCAAACAGCCTGGCCCCCGCTCCCATCCACCCCCTCCCACTTCCTACCCCCGACTGCGCCCCTCAGAACTCCCCGGCCGATCCAAACCCCACTGCTCCTTGTCCCCTGACCGGCGCCTCCCAGGACCCCCTGACCCTAACCCCCCCAGGACCCCACCCCCATCCAACCCCCCCTGCTCCCTGTCCCCTGACTGCCCCAACCCCTATCCATACCCCCACCCCTGAAAGCCCCCTTGGGATTCCCACACCTATCCAACCCCCCCTGTTCCCAGTCCCCTGACTGCCCCCCACCCCAGAACCTCTGCCCCATCCAATCACCCCCTGCTCCCTGTCCCCCAACTGCCCCCCAGGACTCCTTGCCCCTAACCGCCCCCCCCAGTACCCCAGCCCCTATCCAACCCCCCCGCTCCCTTACCATGCCCCTTAGAGCAGCAGGAGCTTGCAGCCCCGCCGCCCAGCCAGAGCCAGCCACGCCAACGCACTGCCTGGCAGGAGCAGTGGGCCAGAGTCCTGGCGACATGGCGAGCTGAGTCTGCTGGGGAGAGGGCTAGCCTCCCCTGCCAGGAGCTCAGGGGCCAGGCAGGACGGTACCGCGGGCTGGATGTGGTCCGTGGGCCGCAGTTTGCTCACCTCTGACCTAGTGTATTTGTGTCAGAGCTCTCTTCTCGGTTTCTTGGCGAGTCAAATTCATAGCTAATATATCGCCATTGGCACCAACAGAGCTGCATCAGGATGAATTTAGGCCAATATGCTTTCTCTTGACAAAGGCCTTAATTTAGTATGTTCTTCTTTGATAGAACATAAAGAAGTATGCTAAGCTATGGTGTGCCTAAGGTACTTACAAAACATTTCAAAACATAAAAGTCTCTCCATGTCAAGAGCTGAGTAGCTGTTCTTTAAGGTGTTTTATAAAAAAAAAAAAAAAAAGTAACAATGCCTCAAGGTGACACACTCAAGTATTTTAGGTCCCAAATGTACAGGAACTCCTCACTTAAAGTCGTCCCAGTTAATGTTGTTTTGTTATGTTGCTGATCAGTTAGGGAACATGCTCGTTTAAAGTTGTGCAATGCTCCCTTCTAATGTCATTTGGCAGCCGCCTGCTTTGTCCACTGCTTGCAGGAAGAGCAGCCCGGTGGAGCTAGCTGGTGGGGGCTGGAACTAGGGTGGACCCACAGCCCCTAGCAGCTCCCCACTTCCCCTAAGTTCCCTGTGCAGCAGCTGCCCAGCAGGCTATCAATTGTGGCAGTTCAGCTGTCCCTCACCCAGTGTCATGTGCTATTCCTGCCGTCTGCCCAGGAGCTGCTCCCTGAGCCTCCTGCTTGCTGCGAGGAGGGGAAGAGGGGGGCTAATGTCAGGGTGTCTCCTCCCCCCCTGCTCCTGCACCCCGCTTATCCCATCTTCCATAGAGCGGGGGGTGGGGGGGACACAACAGTTCCGGAGGCAACAGCTGAGGTGGGTGATCTCCTGCTGATCTAATTAACAAGGCAGTGTACTTAAGACAGAGATCAGCATACTTAAAGGGGAAATGCATATCTCTCTCTCACTCACACACACACACACACACACACACACACACACAGTGTGTGTCTCTGTCTGCTATGCTGTCTCCCCTCCCTTCATTCCTTCTGCCTTGTAGAGTGTGAGGCTACATTAACAACGAGTTAACCCTTGAGGGCTAGTTCATCATTTAGCAGTAAGGCATTCCCTGGGAAATATCCCACCCTCTGACTTCACCACCTCAACCAAGCTTCACAATCATCATTGCTGTGTACCAAAGTCTTTTGTCTGGTGAAAAAAATTTCCCTGGAACCAAACACTCCCAATTTACATGAATTCTTACTGGGAAACTGGATTCGCTTAACATCGTTTCGCTTGAAGTCGCATTTTTCAAGAACATAACTACAAAGTTAAGTGAGGAGTTCCTATATCTTACTTTTAACATCTGCACAATATACATGGAAATCGTTCCTCTTTCCCCACATTGTAGTTAATTTTTTTTAAATCAATCAAATGAGGGTGTTCTGCTGCTTATGGATAGCGAGTCATGCCTTATGAGACTGGGCCTTAAAAAGGAAACATTTTAATTGGAGTAAGTAACATTTCCTTGTGTAATCTACAACTTTAAAGACATAAGTTGTTTAGTCCTCTAGTGTAACTTGACAGGGTCTTTTAAAGCCTATATGCCCTGAAGTTAAACCTACAGAAATGAAGAATAGAAGTCTATTATATGAACATTATTTTGAGAGATGTATTTCCAAATGCGATATACAGGATTCATGGAAAGAGATCAGGTGAACTGCAGGAAATTGTAGAAGATGAGAAAATAACAGGCTTTTGTAATCAGCAGCAAAATAACTATTGCATAATAATTATTTTTTATTACTGGAATTAGAATGATCTCCCATTATGTTAATGGAAGACAAGGGAATGGAAGATAGAATGTAACTTAAATAATACATGATCTTCAGTCTAGTAAAGACTGACACTGTAATGTCTTACTTCATTCTCTCATCTTTTTCACATAAATATTTAATAATTGTATATCCTCAGGACTGAATATTTACTCTACATATTTAAATGTCCAGAGGAGCAACCCTTAGAAGCCCTTAGAAGGGCACCGTATGTGTAAGTTAGAGCTGGTTAGAATGCTATATGTTATCTGTGAAAAATTTCAAATGAAACAATAAATTTCCCATTTTGTTCAAAGTTTTTCACAAAATGTTTTGTTTTTTTTGACTAAACCAAAAAACATTTCCATTTCAAAAACTGAAAAAGTTGTTTTTCCTTGAAGCGGGGTGGTCACCCCACTCTGGCCCTGAAGGGGTTGAAAGCAGTCCTGGAGAGGGCTGCAGCAGGGAAAGGGATTAAGAACAGCCAGGGGAAGCTGACTGCAGCTGACCACAGGTGTGGCTGGCTTAATCAGGGCCCAGCTGGCCCTTATAAGAGGGCTGCGGGCCAGAAGCAGAGGAGTCTCACTCTAGCCCTGGAGTGGAAAGGGCTAGCTGTCTGGGAGCAGAGCAGAGCAGAGCAGAGCAGAGGAAGGGCAAAGGGAGCTGGGGAGCTCCAGCCTGATAAACCTGCAGGCCTTGGTAAAGGCCCAGAAAGGTACTGGGGCTGCAGAGGGGTAGCCTGGGAATAAGCAGAGGCAGCTGGTCCTAACCCCTTGCCAATGATGAGTGGCCATTACATTGCAGTCTGCCCCAGTGAGCAGGGGTTAGATGATGACTGGCAGTATGGGCCACACTGCCCAGATACTTGGGGCAAGTTACATGGACTCTGGCAGATAGGCTGCACTACCTCGCCAGCCAGGGGTGATTGTGTGGAAGGAGGCCATTAGGCTGCAACCGGCCGCCCACAGAGAGACAGGCACAGGAACTTGGGAGTGGTGAGGTTCTGACTCCCTATCCCACCCCTGCCACAAAGGGGCGGTGCAGTGCCAGACCCGCTACATTCCTCCCTATCTTCTCTCTCTGAAAATAGTTTTCAAAAACCAAACCGTTTTAGTTTTTCATTGAAAAACAAATGGAAAATTTCAACCAAAATGAAATTTTTCTTTTCATTTGAAAAGTCATTTTTTCCACACACACAAAAAATCCAAAAGAGTTTTGACCAGCTTTAGTTTAGTATGTTGGGGTTAATCGTCCAAAGTGCTGAGGCACTCTGTGAGGGACTAAGCTCCCTCAACTCCCAATAAAGTCAATGGGTTGCACTTGCTGACTATCCATAACCTGCACTAATGATCATTGGAGCGATGGGTGCTCAGCATCTTTCAGGATATGGCCCACTGGGAAATATGGTGCAGACCCGCAAAAATTATTACTGAAGCTTACTGAAACTTAAAGGTAACCTGCAAAGAAAAAAGTAATTGGGCTAGTCACCTTTTTGCCTGTGTTATGATGCAAAAGAAAGCCTGTTTTGGGTTGGGGTTTTTGTTTTTTTTTGAGTGGGGGGGGGGGCTGGTTCTTCTCTTTAAATTAGCAATTAAGACCCTGTCTTGGATCACTTTGATGACTGAAAAAATACCAAGACAATGTCATCACAAGAAAGTGATGACATCAAGCAATTGAAAAGGGAATGGATTTTTTACTTAGATCGTTTAAAACCCTTTCATTTTTTGCTTTAGTTAACATCTATTTAACAACATCAGCTAACAAACATTTTGGAGAAAGGATGTTTTTGTTATAAATTTATCCACCAATTAAGGTGAGAAAGCTCATTTACATGCTGTGAGACCCAACCCAAACGACGGAAGAATAGAAATATCAAGAATGTCAAGTCTAAGGCAACAAAAAGCAAAATTATAACTGACAGACATTTCAGATGTGCACATGTGGACAAAGGGCTGACAGAATTAAGATGAACACTAAAATGGGAATAATTAATTCAGTGCAGAGCCACAAGTTCAAATACACTCATCATCAGAGCAGTAAGACTTAAACATGTAGGAAACATCATGCCCCTCTCCTACTCATGATGGGGAGACAAGGAGAACTGCCATGCTAGACTGTCTCCCCCCCCCCCCCCCCGAAAAAGAAGAGACACAACACTTACCATCACAGTAATCGATGGGTGCATAAGCACTTAGAAAAAGAGATGCTGCAAAGCTACTAACCAGAGAGATTCTCTGAAACAAAAAGATAACTTGAGATAGTAACTCCCCTCAACATTCATGCCCAAGCAAATGCAGTTTGAGTAAACAAAAGCAACAAAATATTAATAAAATCTCAGCAAGGGGTACTGCCTACCAGAAAAAGAAGTACTACAAGGATTATCCAGTAAAATTTTCCTGCCTGGGCTTTTAGAAGACATCCATATAAAAAGGAACCTCATAATAAAAGCTTTTAATAGCTTTTAGCTCTGAAACATACAAAATACACACACTATATTAGTGTACTCTGCCTTAGCATGAATTACTGCACAGCCATGATGTACCCAAGGGCCACAATTTAATAAAAAGAAGTCTGCATACAAAAAAACAGGGAGACGGAAAAATCAAAGCATGGATGACAGCACAGAAACCATACCAACACCATCCATCAGTGAATCCAAAAGGAAACCAAAGCTAAACAAGGAATAGATCTTATAAATTTCTCCTGCCTCTTCCGAGAGACTCTTCCATCACCCCTACATGGGCTCTTGTCTTCCTGAGTCCATTAACTTCTTCCTAAGTCAGGCAACATAGACCATCCTTACAACCCTGCCCTCTGACACCAATCAGCTATGCATTGCAATGCTACCTGCTACTATGCCGCAAACTAACTGCTCAGAGATAGATTGTAGATGGAATCATGAGGACAGTAGGGTTTAATGACCCTCTATCTCTTTTTGAGACTCTACCCAGGAACACATCTCAACATGGCTGAGGAACACAGGCCATGCCCTTCCTCGTGCTCCAATGGACACTAGCTGCCTGAAAGAGAATGAGGAGTGTTGGGCTAAAGGTTGGTTCTGGCTCAACTCTAAATCAGCAAGCAAAACAGGCTGGCACAGTGGAAGGAACGCACTGCATCCTCTATAAAGTAGTGAGCTGCCAAGCTAGTGTGTGCTGCCTGAGGGTCCTCAAGCGGAATTCTTACCAAGACAGAATTCCTCCTGGGGGCTCTGGTTGTAATATGGCACTGCCACATCCCTTTCAGCACAACTGGGGATCCCAGTTTAATTCACTTCTGTATTTGGTCTTAATTTGGGACCAGAACATATAGTCTGTCTTCCATCCATTCCACTCCATCCCACACTAGAATAAGAGGTGTCACAATGACATTCATGCAAATACAGACAGAACAATATTAAAGAAAACATTTCTTTACAAAGGGTATATTGAACCTGTGAGACTTATTGCTGCAGGAAGTCAACTGGTCCATATTGATAATGGATTTTAAAAGCCCTGGAAATTTTATCAAGTGCAGTAATAAATGCGAAAACAGGAGTCTCAGACAGATCTCATGCTTCAGGATGTAGGTCCTTCCCTCACGTACAGCACTGCCAACATGCATTACAGGGGTTTATCACCTTGCTCTGAAGCATGAAGCATCAATCACTGCTTTAGGCAGAACATCAGATTTTCAGCTTTGAGCAGTTAAAATAATAATTGTAATTGTTGATTCCTGAAATGTCAATAAAAAAGGAAACTTTTGTCTGAAATGTGTAATTCATTTTATAATTATAGAGCTCAAAATAACCTTCAAGGGCCAATCTGTTAAAAAGGGCTCAACTCAACCTCCAGTTTTTCCTGGGTAACACTGCCTGGCACCTGTTTTGCATCAGCAAACATTGCACTGATGCATGCAAATAGCTGTTCTGTGTGTGTATCAACTGTGTATAATCACTGCTTTCTGTGACCAAATGTGGCAATACCTGCACAAACTGGTGCAAATGCAATTTTGTGCAAGTAAAATTAAGGCCTACTTTTTTAAAACTTCGATTCAAAACGTTGTGACCCACAAGTATTCACAATGTTAAATGCATCATTCTAAAAGGATCTGATATTTGATTTTCATCTGCCAAATAACTGACCATTTAAAAAAACCAGACCCACTTTATAAAATCATCACCTCTATATTACCTATTTTGCATTATGAAAACTAATTCAATAAACAAAATGTACTTCTGTTTAGCAAAAACATTTTTATATTTTCTTTAAAAAATTAAAAAGATTTTCAACTGTGATTTCCAGTAAGTGGACTGAAGTTGAGCCAACCTCAGTTTGTACGTAGACCTCAGGATTCTGGCTGTAAATCTTTGCGATCTGGTTTCCTGTAAAACGCTGAGAAAGAAATGCAAATGCTTAGGAATACAAACACTAAATGGAGTCAATAATCATTAACTCTGTGTAATGAGTTCAGTACATTGCACTCTGGATATTTAATTTGCCAGATGCATGATGAAAGTCAGTGCACAGCAGGCAATCTGCACTAAACAGGCTATAATGCATAGTCTCATTATGAGAATTTTGCTCACCTTTTGGGAAAAGGCTGTGAAAAAGCATTACTATCCATAATTTATGTTTCAGAAATGACAGTTCAATGGAATGAATCATACTGATTACATACAGAGGAACCCAATACAATGCAAACATTGGCCTCCAGAGCCTTAAAAGGTTCCCAACTTATACAACTTTGTATGGGTGGGGTAAATGGGGGACAGGGTATTTCAAGCCAGAAATAACTAATGGCTAAGGAATAATTATTTCTCATATATGTATTAAATCATATAAAAGAAAAATGCTTAAGATTCACTGAATTTTTTAAGTTAATTCATTGCCTGTTATAAGTTAAAAGAAACATTTTTGCACTGTTTAAAGTTTCATTTCAACTCAAATGAGCACACACTCTGCACAATGAATCAAAAAGAGCTATGCATATGGATAGGACTATATTTTGATGAACTCACCATCACTAACAAACTGACAACCAGGTGCTATTTACATATGCTACTTGTCTAAAACACTGGTACACAAACTGGAGGGGTGCAAGAGGTTCTCTGGAGGGGCGCAAAGAAGCTGGGATCCTGCAAGCTCCAAAGGACCCATGGCCATAATAGCAGGAGTGGGATAAAAATAGAGTGGGTATTGGGGGCGGGACAGGACTAGGAATAAAAAAATTATCCTCCCGCACCACAAAAAACATCAATGCCCCAGCTGCCCAGCTCTGAAGGCAGCACTGCCGCCAACAGCAGTGCAGAAGTAAGGGATTCCTTCAGATTACAAGTGATGAGTGGGGGAGACATAACAAATTCCGTGAATGGTAATGGGGGGGCAGGACTGGAAAAGTTTGCTCACCATTCGTCTAAAAGACTCCTCTCACTTTATGACATATTGTCACAATTTTGGTAGGAGGAGGTGCCTGATCTGAAGTCCCACTGCAATAAAAAGGGTGGGGTGATGGGGCATTCTCTGTTATGGCCTCTGGAACTTACTTATCCCCAGGTCCACAACCGTCTGAGTTTGTTTGCCTCCACAGAGCACTTGAAAGGCCCATTTTTTCTCCCTTACCTATGAAGAGATGGGTGTTGGGTAGGGCTGGATAGTGGTGTTGCGGGGCTCCGGATGTCTTGTTTAGAGACATTTATTAATTTAACTAAAATTAAATTTAGAAACACTCTGTAATATATTTTATTGCTATGGGCATCTGCATGAAAGCAAAAATTGAAATTAATCTGCTCCTGCATCTTTTTCCTCACTTGAACTCAGAGACAGGTCCTCAACTTGTGCAAATTTGCATAGCTCCACCAGCTGAGGATCTGACCCACAGAATTACAGAAGTAACTTACAGTAATAATTCATCCAGTCACTCTTTCTGCCAGTGCAGGCTTGCTTCATACAGTGCATTTTCTAGTGCTTTGACTAGTCTAATTTTACAACTCCCAAGCAATAGGACATCACCCCTTCCTTTGTGACGCTATTCCAAAGCTTAGTACATTTCACTGCCAGACAGTTTTTGTCAATATTCAGAGTAAACTTACCTTTTCACGAGTTTCAGCCTCATACAGATATCACACTTAGTGGCTGTGGACAGAATTATTTTCTAAGTTTGCCATGAGACACCAGTGCCTCTATAAGAATTTTCATTCTTTCCTCCTCCAGTTCTCACCTCGCATGCTCGTGAACCAGTTATATTAGCTAGGTTTTGTGCCCCTCCAACAGCTTTCTCAAGCGATAAGCACTGGGTAGTAGTACTGGAATCCATCCAAACAGGGCTGTCACTGACAGAAAAACAAGCCTGGGGAAAAAAATAAATCATCAAAAAGATTATCACTCCAGGAGGGACTTTCATACTAATGACCAAATCCTGAGAAGTTATCTGTGCCTGTATTAGGCCCAAATACAACAGAAAATAAGAACGGCCATAGTGGGTTACACCAAGGTTAAGGCCATAGTGGGTTACACTAATTCTAGCCCAGTATCCCTGTCTTCTGACAAAACTACTGTAATTTTCACTCCAGACATCTGAAGAAGAGAGTCATAGCCCACGAAAGCTTATGCTCTAATAAATTTGTTAGTCTTTAAGATGCCACAAGACTCCTCGTTGTTTTTGCTGAAACAGACTAACAAGGCTGCCCCTCTGAAACTTGTCTTCTCACGGTGGCCAATGCCAGATGCTTCAAAGGAAATGAACAGAACAGGGCAATTATCAAATGATCCATCCCCTGAGGCTGTCATCCAGTACTAGCATCTGGCAGTTAGAGGCTTAGAGCACATTAGAGGACACCAAGAACATGTGCATGGAAATGTCACATTGTTGCACTGAAGATCCCCCACTGTCAGACGCTACACCCATCTACAATCCATATAAGCCAGCATGTTGGAGACATAGCCAGTGGATTTGCAAACAGTGTGAAAACCCCAGGCCAAACCTCACATTGGAGAGGAGAAACAAGCTGTGTCTGCCACTCTTTTACGTATTTTGCAGTAGCTAGCCATGGGCCAGCTATGCAGTTTACCAGGCCCTGAAGCAGATGCTGGGGCTAAGGATTCCATTCCTGAGCTCTGCTTTACTTCAGCATAGTTCTCTCACAGCATAGTCCTTTTGTTCCAGTTTTCAGGATTTATCCCTATGGATAACTACTGTTGTTCTTATTGGGGTTGTACTGACATTGTTGTCTCCAATGACTAGTTATGGTCTTTTGAGAATTCTTCATCTGACACTCAGAACACCACTTTGAAGTATTTTAACCCAGTCCCCAGATGGTTCACATGTTCATTGCAGACAATATTTTCATTTGGGAATCAGGATATACACATTTAAGATTTGAATAGACCAGTTGTACAGATGTCTTCGTCAAATGTTTAGAAGTTCTTTCTGATATCAAGGTGGGAAAGGCTGGTTTCAAGATGAAAAGGAGGACTTGTGGCACTTTAGAGACTAACAAATTTATTTGAGCATAAGCTTTCGTGAGCTACAGCTCACTTCATCGGATGCATGCAGTGGAAAATACAGTAGGGGGTTTATATACACAGAGAACATGAAACAATGGGTGTTACCATACAGACTGTAACAAGAGTGATCAGGTAAGGTGAGCTATTACCAGCAGGAGAGGGGGAAAAAAAAAAAAAGCTTTTTGTAATGATAATCAAGGTGGGCCATTTCCAGCAGTTGACAAGAACATGTGAGGAACAGTAGGGGGGAAAATAAACATGGGGAAATAGTTTTATTTTGTGTAATGACACATCCACTCCCAGTCTTTATTCAAGTCTAATTTAATGGTGTCCAGTTTGCAAATTAATTCCAATTCAGCAGTCTGTCGTTGAAGTCTGGTTTTGAAGTTTTTTTGTTGAAGAATTGCCATTTTTAGGTCTGTAATCGAGTGACCAGAGAGATTGAAGTGTTCTCCAACTGGTTTTTGAATGTTCTAACTCTTGACGTCTGATTTGTGTCCATTTATTCTTTTGCGTAGAGACTGTCCAGATTGGCCAATGTACATGGCAGAGGGGCATTGCTGGCACATATCACATTGGTAAATGTGCAGGTGAACAAGCCTCCTTTGCTTATACTTTTAAAGGAGAAGGCTTTTCAAATCTATGTCCACAAGCCACAAAACAACCCCAAGCAGCCACCCTGTGCACAGGAACTCCTTGGACCATAGTTTGAACCTTCAGAGATAAGTCTATCACGTTTCACGTAAGTATTCTTGCTAATAAAATCTTGTGAGTTGAATGGGAAATCAGATCTAAACATATTATCCATAATGGCAAAGATGTTAAAATAATATTAAGCTTTATAAAACAATAAATAGGTCACTTGTCATACATTGTGGTGCTCACTGGGCGTTGCATGTTTTAACAAAATTGTATGCTGTCATGCCAGGGGAAGATGAAATACTGAAACCCCTGGGATATAGGAGAAAAAAAAGTATACTGCAGTGGCTTCTAACACAAACAAGCAAAGGGAATATTTTGGAAGGAAAAAGCAACTGTTAAGTGTCAGAAAGAGGAGTGTGTGTGCTCACTCTCCCTTCAAAGCTCTTCACTGCACGTATTACCTTTAGTAGCTGATGTAAAGGAAGATCAGGTGATAAATTCTTTAAAATTTGGCTGGCTCCTTCTTTCCAATACACGCTCCCATGTTGCTGTAAAGGATATACATTTTTAAATTAAAGATGGCACCCAGGATGTCAAATACAGATTCCAATCTGGATTTCGAACATTAAATGGAGGAGAACCATTTTCAAAGTGAGACACAAATTTATTGATTAATTAATTCATTAAACAGTTCACCTTTTTTGGAGACATCCAGGCCAATTAGATCATTTAATTACACTTCAAGAATGAGCAATGTATGTGCCAAATCATCAAATACAGGAGTTTGTCTGGCAAAAATGTAGACCATTAATTAAAGCAGCATCTAGTGGGCGCTTCTATAATATTGCTAGTTGCAGCTATTACCTTACCCAATGATTCTACCACAGAAGGGCAGCTATAAAGTGCAGCCAGGGCTCCACAGAATGACTTTCTGTCATTTTGGACCCGGCACACAGGGTTAGACTCTTTGTCTACTGATTAAAGCAGAGAAGTGGGAATCAAAATGCCTTGGTTCTTTAATCATATTCAAGGTACTTTGTCTGTCACTAGTTCACTGTGTAACCCAGAGCAAGTCCCTTAGGCACCACTAATTTGGGGTATTCAACTTGAAACATATAGCCCCTGATTCTCTGAACATCCAAACCTTTAGCTGAAGTCCATGGAAACTGCAAGAGTTCAGCACCTCTGATTAATCAGTCCTAGGAGTTTGAAGCTGAGCAACTGACAACTGATACACCAAAAATTAGTGGGCACTTTTGATAATGCCTGCCTTAATCTCTCTGCACTTCACTTTACACAACTGCAAAATGGGTCTAAGACTTGCTTACCTTACAGGCATGGTGTGAGGCTTAATTGATGAATGAATGTCTGAGCACTTTGACATCTTCAGAAGAAAGGCACTATGCAATATAGGCTAAATTAGAGAAGACCTACACAAGTGCCTAAGCAAGAGGCACAGGGGGAGACATCCCCAGCCCATTTACACACAAGGCAGCCATCGTTTGGTTTCCATTATTCCTGAATATGGTTTCCATTATGCCTGAGGATGCACCACCCAGCAAATGAAGAGCTCTGATTAGAGGGATGCTTGCTACACCTCGAATACATTTTACATGTTCAGCTCTTCACTACATTCCCCTCTCCTCGAGCGCCTGTGGAACAATCTTGCAGACACAGCTGCTCAAACTCCTCCATCATCTCCAAGCACGGCTCAAATTTGCAAAACCATAATAGAACCCCGTAAGTGTGAAGAATTTAAATGACTTGAAACCATCTAGTTGTACACACAGCTAGTCTATGTAACCATACTGTTATCCTTGTCCTCTCTGTCCTATCTCTTCGTGCAGTTGTATACAAGTTGCATCTTGTATTAAATTAGCTTTTAAGATCTTCAGGCAGAGTCTGTCTCTTATTATGTATTTGTACGGTGTCTGGTACAATGAAACTTTGATCCTAATTGAGTCCTTTAGATGCTATTGTAATACTCCTAAATAATAAGTGTCATTATTCCTTAATACTCTGTTGAGGACATACAATATAACTAATTTTTCCCTTTAAAAACTAACCTGTCCAGCCCCAGAAAAAGCTCTCACATGAGAGAACTTAAAACCAGAAGACTTCATCTTTTCCAAGATCATATCCAGAGCCTACAAGAACAAACAGAATCAAGAGTGATTGTAATGAGCTACCAAATTATGCACACTCACAACCCTCAGAATTAAATTGTAAGTATCTGTCATCACTGATAAGGGTTCAGTAACAGATAATGAAAAATTAGCTAATGACTAGGGATTTTTTGAGAAATTGAATGCATTAGTTTATTAAGCAGGAGCCCATTTTAAAAAAGGGAACTACACAAAAAAAATTCTTCAAACAGGTTGAATCACAAAGGACAAATCATTACATCTTGGCTCTTGTTTGGTCTTCAGTGGGTTCCAATATATGAAAGAGACATTGTTGAGGTTGATAGATGAAAAATGGGACAATTTATTTGTTGGAAAACCTATGCAATTCTTTGTGGGGCAAAGTCCAATCTTGGAAGATGCTGAGCATCCTCAACTCCCACTGATTTCAGTGGGAGCTATGGACGTTCAGCACCTCTGAAACTCAGATGATTTATTCAGATACCTAAATATGGATTTAAATGCTTAACCTTTAGACACTCAAGTCTGAAAATTTTGCCCTGAGATTTTCAAAGGACACTCTGAAGTAATTTAAGACCAAAAATTAATCTACCTTTACACTTTCATTGCTGTGACCTAGATTTTGCCACCCTTACTCATGACGTCACTAGACAAGTTGCCTTTGTAGGACTACTTACATAGTAAGATTCTACTCAATGTGAGTACAGGTTACAGAATCTGGACCTACATGAGTAATTTTTTTCTGGATCATGAATATATGTTTTTAGAATACAAAAAGAAATCATCAGTATTTTAAGCTAAATATTTTCTACCATTATCATACAGGGCCTGCACTACAAAGTTTTATGATCAGCTGCTGCAGAACCAGCCAGCCAACCAGCAGAAGGAAACAAAAACTGGCTAATAAATCTTATTCTCAGAGGATGAAATTAACTCTGATGTTGCACAAACGAAGAAGTAAACAAAGCAAAGCCAAACTGGCTCCTCTTCCATATGAAACAAAGACAGCAAACAAAGAATGTTTTCCTAATTAAAAAAGAAGGAAAATTAGCCAAATTCTATCCAGCAGATGCAATATTTATTTATGGCTGGGCTGAAATGCGTTCAAAATCAGTGATGAAAGAACTTCTATTTTTCATGTATCTAGTATTAAAAACAATGGAGAGTGAAGAAACAAAAGCATAACAATTTAAGAACTCCAGCTTCGCTTATTCATGATGTGAAAATTTGCATTTCAATGAGATAGATCTGCATGCAAAAGAAATAGAAAACAAGCAAACGAAACACCTTAGCTTGAATGACAATCTTAATGGCTGCTCATAATTATAATCCTGAGTTAAGAAGATGAATCATAAGAACACAAATATACTCAGGCAACCAAAATTAAAACATGTTCTTACCTTGACCCACATTAACACAGGAGAAGTCACTGTCAGCTTATCACTGTGGACGTGGACACCGCAATGAGTCCTGCAGAAAGACAGTATTTTTTCTTGAGATGGGAGGGGAACCTGTCTTTTTTCACATTTGGTTCATTTTTCACCCTCCAAGCAGTTTTTTCAAATGATCATTTATGATCAAAGAACACACAGTACTATTTAGTACACAGCAAGGATAAAAACAAAGTTAGAAAATTCAGCCTGCTCTCTGGAACTAACATTTTGATATTTTGACTAGTCACAGAGAAAAAAAATAAAGAAGTCCCTGATCCTGCAGTGAGATCTAAGAGGGCAGACTCCTACATTTGCTCAGTACTTTGAAGTCACTGAGGCTCTGCATAGTTGGAAGGGTCCGCCTGCACAGATCTCATGCAGCAGTAAACTCTTGGTCTTTTATATTCATGCTGGTGTCCTACAAGGCAATTTGACACTAAAAGCCAAATATCACACACACAAGACGATCCAAAGTGAGCCCTTGTCTACACTATAAATTACTTCGGTACATCTTACATCACTCAGGGGTGTGAATAATCCACACCCCGAGCGACATAATTTATACCGACCTAAGAGCTGGTGTAGACAGTGCTGTGTTGGGGGGGGCACGGGGAGCTACCCACCAATTTTTCCCAGTTGGTGCTCCAGCCCCGGAGCACCCATGGAGTCGGTGCCTATGATGGCTGGCGCCGGAATGCTGCCCCTAGAAATGTGCCGTCCCAAGCAAGTGCTTGCTTTGCTGGTGCCTAGAGACGGCCCTGATAGCTGGATCAGTGCAGCTGCACCAGCGTAAATGATGTAGTGCAGACAAAGCCTTAGTGTGCAAAATGTGTGTGTGCATGATACTTTATGTCACAGTTCAGGGCAACTGCACCTGTATCTCCCCTCGGTGGTTCAGCAAAGGCACCAACTCTCAGTCTTCCAGCTCCCCACTTGTTGCCTCTCTTGGATGCAGACATCTGTCTCTCTCCCTTCTGACCTACAGTTCCCTGCCTTCACTGCATCATTCCCAGCCTAAACATTGTTCCCAAACAAACCTGCTTGCTTTCTCTTTAGAGAATGATAAGAGTGATTGCTACAGATATAAGTGCCACACAGAGTTTTCTAAGCAGGCCTACTTTATTCTTAATGTACAAAGCAATAGAGAGAAAACATACGAAAAACAATAAAAGAATCTACATGCATGCTAATTAGCCTACCAGAGTACATCCCAATTCTAACATGGGTTCTGGCAGGATAAGTCTTTCAACACCCCCACCCACTGTAAGGGAGTCCTTTTGGTTACAAGTTTCAGAGTAGCAGCCGTGTTAGTCTGTATCCTTAAAAAGAAAAGGAGTACTTGTGGCACCTTAGAGACTAACAAATTTATTAGAGCATAAGCTTTTGTGAGCTACAGTTCACTTCTTCGGATGCATACAGTGGAAAATATAGTGGGGAGATTTTATATACACAGAGAATATGAAACAATGGGTGTTACCATACAGACTGTAACAAGAGTGATCAGGAAAGGTGAGCTATTACCAGCAGGACAGCGGGGGCGAGCGGGGAGGGGGGATTGTAGTTGTAAGTATGCTTGATAGAGATCTTGTAGGTGTTTGTCTCTGTCTGAGGGGTTGGAGCAAATGTGGTTGTATCGTAGACCTTGGGTGTAGAAAACGGATCATGTGGTGTGGTCCGGATGAAAGCTGGAGGCATGTAGATAAGTACAGCGGTCAGTAGGTTTCTGGTATAGGGTGGTGGTTATGTGACCATCGCTTATTAGCACCATAGTGTCCAGGAAGTGGATCTCATATGTGGACTGGTCCAGGCTGAGGTTGATGGTGGGATGGAAATTGCTGAAATCATGGTGGAATTCCTCAAGGGCTTCTTTACCATGGGTCCAGATGATGAAGATGTCATCAATGTAGCGCAAGTAGAGCAGGGACATTAGAGGACGAGAGCTGAGGAAGCGTTGTTCTAAGTCAGCCATAAAAATGTTGGCATACTGTGGGGTCATGCGGGTACCCATAGCAGTGCCACTGATTTGAAGGTATACATTGTCCCCAAATGTGAAATAGTTATAGGTGAGGACAAAGTCACAAAGTTCAGCCACCAGGTTTGCCGTGACATTATCGGGGATACTGTTCCTGACAGCTTGTAGTCCATCTTTGTGTGGAATGTTGGTGTAGAGGGCTTCTACATCCATAGTGGCTAGGGTTGTGTTTTCAGGAAGATCACCGATGGATTGTAGTTTCCTCAGGAAGTCAGTGGTGTCTCGAAGGTAGCTGGGAGTGCTGGTAGCATAGGGCCTGAAGAGGGAGTCTACATAGCCAGACAATCTTGCTGTCAGGATGCCAATGCCTGAGATGATGGGGCATCCAGGATTTCCAGGTTTATGGATCTTGGGCAGCAGATAGAATACCCCTGGTCGGGGTTCTAGGGGTGTATCTGTGCGGATTTGTTCTTGTGCTTTTTCAGGGAGTTTCTTGAGCAGATGGTGTAGTTTCTTTTCGTAACCCTCAGTGGGATCAGAGGGTAATGGCTCAGACAGAGACAAACACCTACAAGATCTCTATCAAGCGATCTTACAACTACAATACTCACCTGCTGAAGTGAAGAAACAGATTGACAGAGCCAGAAGAGTACCCAGAAGTCACCTACTACAGGTCAGGCCCAACAAAGAAAATAACAGAAAACCATTAGCCATCACCTTCAGCCCCCAACTAAAACCTTTCCAATGCACCATCAAGGATCTACAACCTATCCTGAAGGACAACCCATCACTCTCACAGATCTTGGGAGACAGGCCAGTCCATGCTTACAGACAGCCCCCCAACCTGAAGCAAATATTCACCAGCAACCACACACCACACAACAAAAACACTAACCCAGGAACCTATCCTTGCAACAAAGCCCGTTGCCAACTGTGTCCACATATCTATTCAGGGGACACCATCATAGAGCCTAATCACATCAGCCACAATATCAGAGGCTCGTTCACCTTCACAACCACTAATGTGATAAATGCCATCATGTGCCAGCAATGCCCCTCTGCCATGTACATTGGTCAAACTGGACAGTCTCTAAGCAAAAAAAATAAATGGACACAAATCAGACGTCAAGAATTATAACATTAAAAACCAGTGCCCCCGCCCCCAGTGCTCTCCTGCCGGTAATAGCTCACCTTTCCTGATCACTCTTGTTACAGTCTGTATGGTAACACCCATTGTTTCATGTTCTCTGTGTATATAAAATCTCCCTACTATATTTTCCACTGTATGCATCTGATGAAGTCAGCTGTAGCTCACGAAAGCTTATGTTCTAATAAATTTGTTAGTCTCTAAGGTGCCACAAGCACTCCTTTTCTTTTGGTTACAAGCTCATCACAGCTACAGCTGAGAACAAGCACACTCATACAATGTTCAGTTCCCTTTTAGTTCAGGGGTCTCTGAACTGGAGTTTCCAGAAGCAGGTAATTAGTACACAATGGGTCTCTCCCTCCAGGGCATATCTTCAAAAGGCAGGCTTCAGAGTATGAATTTGCATTCCCATCACCCCAAGCGATTTCCTAGGGAATCCACATTTTGTTCCAAAAAGACTTTCTGAAGTTCCTAATATCTTCCAGATATTGCATTAATCTTGTCTTCCTGATAAAGAAGTCCCATACAATCTCACAATAGTACATAAACATTTGCATTCTAATACAATGTACCCCAAAGTTATTAACATTAATTCAATAAGGTTTAACTTAATTCAATAAAGTTCACTCAAGATATTATAGGACATTGTCAGTCTGCCACACTGTACACCTACTGCAGCTATTTGTGATTATTAAGTTTACTCATATAAACTGAGTAAGTGCATATGCAAACAGCTAATCCGGCACCTAAATCCTGTTCTTAAATAAAGGACATGGAGTTTTTGATGCACCAATTAAACTTGGTCTGTCAGTCATAACACCTTTTTAACTTCCTAATGTTTACCATCAAAGGTTTCATATCACAGCATGGGTGAAATCCACTTCTTGTCATATAAAATTTGAGCAAACAGGTTTTGTGCGAAAAGTCTGTGAGCTTGCAAGATGGAATGTATACACTCCAGACTACAGATTGGAGTAGCAGGCACTACCCTCCTACATCCCGAGAGCATTTTTGGTCAATGGATCTACTCCAGCATATTCCGAAAGGTCCTTTCCAAACCTTATTTGGTGTTGGCATGGCATCCCCTTCCCAAACACAAAGGCAGTATTGCCAACCCTCAATTTTCAAAATTCATGAGCCATCCCCAAAAAACTCATGAGATTGGCTTAAAAATCAGGAGCTTTTAAAAAAAAATGATAAATTAGGGGGTACTTGGTATTTGCTTTTCAGTTTCTGGTCTTTTAGAATGCACTCATTTCATGTTTTCAAGTTTTTTGCCACAATCATGAAAGCTAACATCTTTCTTTCTTAAATGAAAGCTGAGATTCTCCTGCAATCAGAGGATTCCAGGAGCTGAGGCTTTAAGAACAGCACTAAACGTCACAAGCGTTTACATCACCTTTGCAGTGTGGCCAAATACCACACACAGAGACAAGCTGGAAACTCTGTTCATGCCTCCACACTCAGTAGATCCATGGGGTGTAACTGGGGTGAAGGCCCTTCAAAGGTACACCACATTGGACTGAACATCACACTAACTGAATAAAATTCAAAAACATACCCAAATTCCGGAAGGTCTTTGTCGAAATGAATGTTATCCTCATAGATGACTCTCAGCTGCTCATCAATGGCAATAACTTTAAGCTGAAAGAAATCAAAAGTGAACAAAAATGTAGACCTACATTTTCAAAAGGAGGATCGTTTGTAAAGAGTGGGTTCTCAGCAATTTCTGAAAACCAGGCTCCTTCAAGGTGTCTCAAACTGGGTACCCAAAATTACTATAAGCACTAGCGAAGCACTGCAGCTGGCTAGCTTCAGAATCAGGAAGGCAATGCTATGTCAGTAATATCTGGTTCACATTTAGAAGTTCATCTTAGCAACTGTAAAAATGAGAAACTTTTTTAAAATGACAGTTTAAATTATGCAGACGTGAACAGCTTAGGCCCCACATACATAAGGAAGAGCTTTCCAGTCACTGATGGGAAGAATTTTTTTTTCTGGACAATTGTCATTTGTATAATACCAGCAAGGTTCAGAAACAGCCAATGTGTGTCCATGCACCATATCAGCACTTCTCTGAAGTGCTACCTTGCCCTCCAGAATCTCAGATTTCACTTAAAAACAAAAATGTAAGGCCTTGTCTGCACAACAAAGTCAATGTAAGGCAGCTTACATGGACCTAACTATGGAGGTGTACACACTACAATGCTCCTCCCACCGCTGCAACTCACCCGCTACGCCGACCTAATAAAACCACCTCAGCAAGAGGCGTAGCGCTTAGGTTAACATAGTTAAGGTGATGCATTGTCAATGTAGACACTGCGTTGCTTACGCTGACTCAAGTGGCCTCCAGGAGGTGTCCCACAACGCCCACCATGACCACTCAGGTCACTGTTTTGAACTCCACTGCCCTGCAGCCAGGTAAACAGGTATACACCCCTCCTCTTTTAAAGCCTTGGGAATTTTTGAAATTGTTCTTCCTGTTTGCTCGGGGTGGAGAGCTAACATAGCTACTGCCCAGTGGACTGTGCTGGCTCCATGCAGAAAACATGGTTCTGCCTGGTGTATGCTGGAGGTGGTGGATCTCCAAGGTCTGTGGGGAGAGGAGGCTGTGCAGTTACAGCTGTGCTCCAACTGCAGGAACTTTGACATCTACTGCCAGATCACTCAGGACACTCGGGACAGCTCACTTCATCGGATGCTCAAATAAATTTGTTAGTCTCTAAGGTGCCACAAGTACTCCTTTTTCTTTTTGCAACGTTAACTATTTTCTCATAAGAGAGTGAGAGGGAGGATCACAGATCCAGAGTTTACAGTGTGATGTCTCAAGTTTCTGACTTTTTTTCTCCAATCACAGAGCCTAGATCATACTGAAGCCCAACCAACAGGCAGTGAAACTTAAGTAGCCTAGTGGAGCACACATGATCATACTTTTAACATACTTTGTACAATGTACAGAGAGTGGCATATTATTCTGGCAATTCACATGGACTGAGCTTATTTTGAGGGTGGAGAGATGAAGCATGTCACCATCGATGTCACTCTACTGCTGTTGCACTAACGCAAATCATTATTGTGTTGCATCCGATGAAGTGAGCTGTAGCTCACGAAAGCTTACGCTCAAATAAATTGGTTAGTCTCTAAGGTGCCACAAGTACTCCTTTTCTTTCTGCGAATACAGACTAACACGGATGTTACTCTGAAACCTGTGTAGATACACTGCATCAGTGGAAAAAGTGACTCGCACTGGTATAGCTTACCCTGATTTGGTAAACTATGCTGGTACAAATCACTTTTTACACTGCTGCAGCACATCCACAGTGATAGTTTGCACCGGTGCAGCAACATCTGTGCTTAAATCTCCAGTGCAGACAAATGTTAAATATCTTCATTAAATTAGTTCCCCAGATTTCTCAACTAGGCATGACCCAAATAAGTAAACTCTGCATACTTCCAAGCAAAGAGAGACCCTACATTCTGTGGCATTTCTCTGTTGGTTAGTAACACAATAATGTTGGAATGTCATATCCAATCAATTCCAAAAATTCAGAGAATATTCTATGCATCCATGGGCACAACCCCATTGATTTTGGTGCAAATCAGAACACCAAAAAAGCCTGATTCAGAGGAAAATTAGGGTCCCCAGACTGCTTGGTGCTAAGGAAGAGAAAGTTCTCTGCCATCACCTACTGCTGCTTACACATATCAAAGGTAGAAGCTTAATTTTCTGCATGGGGAAACTGTAGCCTGGATTCTAACAGAAATAAGAGAAGCGGGCAATGGGGGGAACACAAGAAGCCACTGCCATGGCAGAGGGGGATATGAGGGGGACATAACCTCTGGCATAAGGGAGGAAGTGGCGGGAGTAATAGAAGGGCATAGAAAGGTGACACACAGGGAGTCTGGGGGAGAGAGAGAATGGAGGAATACAAGAAGCCCCTAGCGCATGCAATGAGTTCAGCCTACAGAAGCTAGGAAGTGCACAACCTTCAAGTGTGTATGCATGTTGCTGCACACATTAAAGCACAGGAGACATAAAACACCTGTGACCAGACAGAAATTTAACTAGTAGTTTCTACCCCTTCTTCCCTTTATTTCCCTCTCTTCAGTTTGAAGGGGGGCAGGATAATGTAAAATCAGTGGGCCAAATTTGGACATTAGTACTATTGACCTTTGATTTGTAATTCCAGGAACCCAGTGAACCGAGAATCCAGTCAGAATTTCTACTGGCTTGCAGTTTTCTGGAGATCAGCAGTTTCTATTTAGATACTGTTACTGCATATCAGTGAAAATATTTTGCTTATTATCAAAAATATATTGCTAAAAACAAAGCAAGGAAAATACAGATGAGAAAAGCAGACGTTACTCTAACCATTGAAGCCCCAAGTTTCACAGGCGCCCGGTCTGGAAGCATTGGATACAACAGCCAAAGTCATCTGCCAACAGCACTATGGGATGAAGTGCAAGAAACGTGGACAAACTTTGTGCCTGCCCCCACTAGGGTGACCAGACAGCAACTGTGAAAAATCGGGACATGGGGTGGAGGGTAATAGGCACCTATATAAGACAACGCCCCAAATATCGGGACTGTCCCTATAAAATCGGGACAGCTGGTCACCCTAGCCCCCACCCTCCATGAACCAAATCAAAATCCTGGCTCCAATCGAACCCCAAATCTTGCACAGGTCCAGCTATGAACTCTGCACTTCGCCCAGGCACGCAGTCGGAGTCTCCGCCTCACCTGCCCCCACCCACGCCTCTGACCCTGCTCCTCCAGCAGCGGGGGCTTTTTTCCACCCGCCAGCAGGGCCCACCTCCTAGCCCAGGGGGCGACTACGGTAGTCAGACTGTTGCGGCGGGATCCCCATCCGGCTGCCAGACGGACCCCACCCCCTTACGGCTTATAGACGGGCCCCTTCTACAGAACGGCCCCTGCTCCCGGACGAACCCCCTTCCCCACACGCAGAGGGCCGAGGGGGGGGGGCTAATGACACTGACTGGGGAGTAGCCCAGGCTCTGCCTCCCCCGGGCCGGGCGCCCTCCCGAGCGGCTGCTCCGTCAGGTCACTGCGAAGGGGGCGGAAACCGGGGGCTGGGCTCGGGCTCTTCCTCTCACAGCCGAAGCGGGTTGTGCACAGCCGCCAGCGCCTCCTTACCCAGCCGCCGGGGGCTCGGGCCTGGCCGCTCCGCCCGGGGAACGGCGAGAGCCTCGGGGAGGCGGAGCCGCCCGCCGCCCCCGTACCTGCTGGGTGCTGAAGTCCCATCCCAAGTACCAGGGAGCTTCGGAGGCGGCCATGCTGGGCTGGATTTCCAAGAAGGCCAGGCGAAGAGGCTGCAGTAACCGGCAGCCAGCCTCCCCCTGCCCGGCCCCTCCGCGCGCGCGTGTGTGAGTGGGTGTGGTGGGGGGAAACTGCCCGAACAGCCCACGCGGAGCCCGGCCCCTCCGCTCGTCACACTCAACAGGCGGGGGGCGGAACTGTCCTAACGGCCGGTCAGCGTGTGACACAGATGGGGGCGGGGAGGGACCTGCCCTAACGACCCCTCAGCATTTGGCACTGACGGGGGGTGGGAGGGGAACTGCCCTAGCAGCCCCTCAGCATGTGACATTGAGAGGGGGGCCTTGCCTTAATGACCCCTCAGCATGTGTGACCCTGATGGGGGGAACTGCCCTAATGGACCCTCAGCATGTGACCCCTCAGGAGGGAGACCTGCCTTAATGACCCCTCAGCATGTGTGACCCTGATGGGGGGAACTGCCCTAATGGACCCTCAGCAAGTGACATTGACTTGCCTTAATGACCCCTCAGCATGTGACACTGTGAGGGACTGCCCTAATGCACCCTCAGCATGTGACACTGATGGGGGGGAGAGAACAGCTGAGATAGAGGGAAAGAAATTTTACACTAAAAAATCTTTTTAAAAATTTTAAAAAAATCTTTTTTAAAAATCTAAAGCTGTGATCCTGCAATCAAAACTGCATCTAAGCAGAGTTACCGTGTAGTGATTGGGTCTCTGCACAGATGCAGAGGTCTCATATACAACACAGGTAGGGATTTTTTTTAAAAAAAGCATTAATTTTCACAATAATTATACAGTGTTGCCAATACTTTTGATTTTGTCATTACTTGGAATAAACGGTATTTTCTTAAAGCCCCATCTCAGTAAGTAAAATGATCTTAGTTAGCATAAGAATCTGAAAAAAGAAAAGGAGGACTTGTGGCACCTTAGAGACTAACAAATTGATTTGAGCATAAGCTTTTGTGAGCTACAGCTCACTTCATCGGATGCATGCAGTGGAAAATACAGTAGGGGGATTTATATACACAGAGAACATGAAACAATGGTGTTACCATACAGACTGTATGGAGAGTGATCAGGTAAGGTGAGCTATTACCAGCAAAGGGGGGGGGGGAACCTTTTGTAGTGATAATCAAGGTGGACCATTTCCAACAGTTGACAAGAACGTCTGAGGAACAGCAGGTGGGGGAGAAACATGGGGAAATAGTTTTACTTTGTGTAATGACACATCCACTCCCAGTCTTTATTCAAGCCTAAGTTAATGGTGTCCAGTTTGCAAATTAATTCCAATTCAGCAGTCTCTCGTTGGAGTCTGGTTTTGAAGTTTTTTTGCTGAAGTATTGCCACTTTTAGGTCTGTAATCAAGTGACCAAAGAGATTGAAGTGTTCTCCGACTGGTTTTTGAATGTTATAATTCTTGATATCTGATTTCTGTCCATTTATTCTTTTACATAGAGACTGTCCAGTTTGGCCAATGTACATGGCAGAGGGGCATTGCTGGCACATGATGGCACATATCACAGGTAGATGTGCAGGTGAACGAGCCTCTGATAGGGTGGCTGATGTGATTAGGCCCTATGATGGTGTCCCCTGAATAGATATGTGGACACTGTTGGCAATGGGCTTTGTTGCAAGGATAGGTTTCCTGGGTAAGTGGTTCTGTTGTGTGGTTGCTGGTGAGTATTCGCTTCAGAATCTGAGTTATCATTTTTAAGTAACTTTGAAGCCCTCATGATTTCAGAAAAGAGCTTGAAAACCTGAACCCTAAATACTCAATGCCCAGAAGATTAAAAAAACCTCAAATTTAATTTTAAAAAATCTCATGACTTTTATCCAATCTACTGATTTTTGGAGACCTGATGCATGTTTTTTTTTAATGCCTTGGGTTGACAGTACAATTATTAAAATCTCAACTAAATGCACCCAAAAAATCTTTAAACAAAAAAGAGTAACATTTAAAAGCTACCTGAAATTGTACCTAAAATGAGGGATCCTCTCTCCAAATGAATGAGAGAATTGGCAACCTGTGCCTTAGGACCTGATTCTGCAAACTTTTATTTGCATAGTCCTGGGAAGTTAGGAGTTAAATTCCTTTGAGGATCTGGGTCATAGTGTTTACTACCTGCAGAAGTCCCACTGAAGTGAATGGGACTATCACAGTTTAAAGAGACAACAAGCATGATCATAAGTAAGGCTGTGTGTCTGTCACAGAGGTCATGGATTCCTTGATTTTCCATGACTTCTACAGAGGCTGGTGCCTATCCTTGCAACAAAGCCCAACTCTGCCTCCCCTCCCCACACACACACCAGCAGGGGTCCCAGGCTGCACGCTGCCACACCCCCAGCACAGGTCCCGGGCCATCCCGCAGTGGACCCGCGGTCCCCCGTCCCAAGTTTTAGTTAGGGGTATATAGTAAAAGTCTTGGAGAGGTCACGGGCTGTGAATTTTTGTCTCACTACTGCCCGTGACCTGTCCATGACTTTTACTAAAAATATCCATGACTAAAATGTAGCTTTATTCATAAGCATAAGATCATGAGCAAAGCACCCTCCTCAGAGTGCGCTGGGTGGGCTTTTGTCTCACGTTCTCCCCTTGTGCAGGGGCTACTTAGGCACCTGAAAACTAAGTGGTTTTTTTTTTCAGATAATAATTTAGCAATTAGCTGATAGGAATACTGTATCTAATTCCTATATAAAAAAAGAATTAAATAAATATTAGACCCACTCAGCTCTAATACTAATATTTCACATCTTGTGTCAAGTCACTTAAGGTACATTGCTTAGGTTTAAAATTTTAATGTATATTCTTAGTTTGTTACTAACTCTTGAATACAGCAATTGAAACAATTGTAGAAAAATCTAGATTATTTTCTATCACTTTTTTTGCAGTTCACCAAGCGTCGAATAGATCATTTAACTTTAGAAACATCCTACTAGGGCAAGGCCCCATGAGTTTATACTGCACCTGCCTGGGGCTCTAGGGATGTTACCTCACTACAAACAATAGACTAGAAACTGACCTTAAACAGGAGTGAAACTGACACTTTCAAGTCACTTTCATAGTATTGGGAATCCCAAATGTTCAAAAATCATGAATCAGGCTCACCAAAATCAAGAGATTTAAAGCCAATCATGAGATTAAGTAAAAATAATAGATTTGGTGTTCTTTTTATTTGCCATCTGCTTGTTGAGCCTCTAGGGTGCACTGGGGTCACATTTCAAAGCTTCTTCTACAGCTAGGAGGGCTAGAAACTTCATTTTTCTTTAAGAATGAAAGCTGAAATCATCACATATCCACTTGACTCCAGGAGCTGGGCTTTAAGGAAAACAATAATTATCATGAGACTCATGACAAAATAATGAGAGTTGGCAACACTACTTTTGCTTCTATATAAAGGCTGGTTACTTTCCTGAAGGCTCTTAAGCACAACACCACAGTGATTAAGTTGCAGTTCTCACACGCGAATATTTAAAACCAAACACCAAGAAAATTCCACATTTTAAAATTGAGGAAAAAATTGACACTGTGAGGTATATCGGGGCACTGCAGGTAGGAAAGGAAAATAAACAGGCACAGGAGCTCTGGGCAGCTCTTCCTCTTGAAAAAAAAGTTGGAGGGTCAAATCTTCCAGTCCTTAATCCAGTAAAATTTCTATTACCATCAGCGTCTCCACTCATAGATATTAACATGTGTTCAATAACTACATACTTCATACTTAAATATCTGAGCCATCTTAACTAGGGCTACACATTTTATACACATTGGCTTAGGGACTACATTTTCTGGCATATTCTGAACAGTGCTGTGCATATAGATGGTGCCCAGTGAATAATACAAATAATGACAATAATTGATGACTTTATGGACTCTGAGTAACAGCCGTGTTAGTCTGTATTCGCAAAAAGAAAAGGAGTACTTGTGGCACCTTAGAGACTAACCAATTTATTTGAGCATAAGCTTTCGTGAGCTACAGCTCACTTCATCGGATACATACTGTGGAAAATACAGAAGATGTTTTTATACACACAGACCATGAAAAAATGGGTGTTTATCACTACAAAAGGTTTTCTCTCCCCCCACCCCACTCTCCTGCTGGTAATAGCTTATCTAAAGTGATCACTCTCCTTACAATGTGTATGATAATCAAGGTGGGCCATTTCCAGCACAAATCCAGGTTTTCTCCCCCCGCCCCCCAAAACCACTCTCCTGTTGGTAATAGCTTATCTAAAGTAATCACTCTTCTTACAATGTGTATGATAATCAAGGTGGGCCATTTCCAGCCCAAAGTGACTATCCTTCAACAAAAAAACTTCGAAAACAGACTCCAACGAGAGACTGCTGAATTGGAATTAATTTGCAAATTGGATACAATTAATTTAGGCTTGAATAGAGACCGGGAATGGTTGAGTCATTATAAAAAGTAACCTATTTCCCCTTGTTTATTCCTTCCTCCCCCCCCCCACCCCAACTGTTCCTCAGACGTTCTTATTAAACCCTGGATTTGTGCTGGAAATGGCCCACCTTGATTATCATACACATTGTAAGGAGAGTGATCACTTTAGATAAGCTATTACCAGCAGGAGAGTGGGGTGGGGGGAGAGAAAACCTTTTGTAGTGATAAACACCCATTTTTTCATGGTCTGTGTGTATAAAAACATCTTCTGTATTTTCCACAGTATGTATCCGATGAAGTGAGCTGTAGCTCACGAAAGCTTATGCTCAAATAAATTGGTTAGTCTTTAAGGTGCCACAAGTACTCCTTTTCTTTTTATGGACTCTGTGGATGCAGTTTCTGTTCTTTGTTCTGGACTTGGCCTAGATACAGCTGAAACCCTAAGAATTTGAGACATAGACACATCCGGATACTTATATGACACTTTCTGATTCTTTCCTTCTCTGGAACTCAGAACAAAAAAATGACAAAATGAAATGGTTTTCCATTAAAATGTAAAATTTCACAGCAGCCATTGCTCTACAAACAGCATGGGGCAGAACCTGCCACCCCTTGGGAGTTAAGTGATCTCTTCTCATCTGACTCTCATTTTCCATCCTTACTGACCTCTGTGCTGCTTTTCATGCTGTCAACCATGACATTCATCCCAACCTCCTGGGACTGTTTGGAGTCTCAAAGAACTAGCCGCCTAGGTTTTGGTCCCATGTATCAGAGTCCTCCTTTTTTGCAGCATGCAGCAGAGAGATAGGCTGTTCTGCTAGATAGAGAGTGAGCTCTGAAAGGTCTGGGTTTTACTCCACCCTCACATGGACTTCTTGTATAGCCTCAGGCCAGTGCCTTAAGGACAGGGTTTCAAACCCTTTTAGGCACCCAAAGATGCAGCTAGGTATCTAGTGGGGTTTACAAAGCACCTAACCTTCTAGGCACTTTTGAAAATCCCACTAGGTGCCTAAATACCTTTGAAAATCTGGCCTTTAGTCTGTGTGCCTCAGTGCCCCATCTGTACACTGGGGATAACAGCACTGCTTTACTTCAGAGGGGCTGTGAAGAAAAAAAAGGTTAGACTTTGTGAGGCGCTCAGATACTACGGTGATGGGGCCTTGTAAGTACCACAGGTAGAGTGGGAACTTTCCTATACCACTGCTACCCCTTCCTTTGGTTTTGGCCTCTTCTTTTCACCTACACTCCCAAATCTCCCCCTTTTCTGAATGTAACCTTGGCTCTGAGGGCTTGGCTGTATTTTTTCCTGAGTCCCATGTGTTATCTCTAAAACAATCCCTCCTCCTTACCCCTG